GAGTTGGCTTTTTTACAGTTATGTAAAGTTAAGTAGTTTGACAAGCAGGAAATCTTCATGAACCAGTGACATAATCACATCACACAAAATGGTCCATTACATCATGATCATGTCAGTGTCATCATGATCCTTCAGAAATCACTCTAATATGATGATTTTGTGCTTATAGGATGATTATCAATGTTAAAAATGACTTTACTGCTTAATTATTTTGTGGAAACCATAACCATTCTACATAGAAAGTTTAAAGAATTTTTTTTTGGGTAAAACTCCACGTCTTATCCATGTTTATTTTTAGATATATAAGGGATATATATATTGTATATTGTTTTATATGCATGTAGGAAAAGTGCTATATATATATATATATATATATATATATATATATATATATATATATATATATATATATATATATATATATATATATATATACACCCAAAAGCTTTGAATGGTAGTGTATGCTTAATTTGAAATTTTCATCTTTGTGCATTATTAAATAATTATGCAATTAATTAATATATTATTATATAAATCACCCAGCACCTCTTTTCTAAATGTTCTGTTAATAATATGTATGAAAAAATTACTTTTATGAAAAAAAATAGTGCACTTTTAGAAATTTTGATGTTAGTATTCATGCATGTAAACGTCTTAATTGCTTTATTTCCTTCCTGAACAAAGTGTGCATGTGTGCGTAAGGGTGAAAGGTAACCCCTTTCAAGGTGGCTTCTAGACTCAAACAAGTTCCCACAGCTTTACGAATGATATCTGTGACATTCTGAAGCTTTCCCTCTACAGAATAGGATCGAAGCGCAGACAAAGTTAGCTGGCACTGACATCTCATTTTGGAATACAACCATACAAGTATGTTTTGCATTACATTGCGATGAGTTAAAACAGCGGTCAGTAATAGCTAGTTTAAAGAGGTAGTTCACCTAAAACTGAGGAAATATAAATTTATATAATCTAGTTTCAAATGAACAATAATCTACATATAACTGAAAAGTTATATGCTTTCGTTCTTTCTGACAACTGGCTAAGCCAAAGTGATGCAATTGCTACAGGGCAGGCTTTTAACGACTCTGCCTTTGTCTTTGGGTGATACTTTTCTCTCAGGAGGTGTGGAATGAGCCCCCACATCCTCCGCTCATTCTACACCTGCACTGTGGAAAGCATCCTGTCTGGCTGTATCACGACCTGGTATGGAAATAGCACCAGCAGCAATCGCAAAGGCCTTCATAGAATTGTGCGAACTGCTGGACGCGTAATAGGGGGTGAGCTTTCCTCCCTCTAGGACATTTACACCAGGTGGTGCATGAGGAAAGTGAAGAGAATTATCAGTGACTCCAGCCATCCAAGCCATAGACTTTTCTCTCTGCTATCCTCAGGCAGACATCCGATCACGCATCAGCCGACTGAAGGAAAGCTTCTTCCCTAGGACTAACAGGCTGATGAACACTTAACACACAGACTCTTCCATACCCCTCCCTGCACACCATCAATATGTAGCATGCACTGCACTTTAACCAATCCATACTTGAAACAATACTGCCTACAACTATGTGGACATCTATTCATTGTACATATCACTGTCAATTTCACATTGTCGTTGTATTTGCACTGTCTGCATTTTGCACTGTCTGTATTTTGCACTGTCGTTGTATTTGAACTATCTGTTTTTTTTACTGTCTGGAGCCAGCACCAAAGCTTTGCACTCATCATAGCAGACATGCTGCTGATGATGTGACAATAAAAGTGATTTGATTTGATTTAGGCCAAAGAAAGCCCTTTTGTTGATTAACTTGTGTGGTCAGTAGCTGGTTTCGAACACCTATATGCCAGTTATCATGTATTATATTAATACTTAATTTGCATGCTTTGTTTAGCCATCTCCCCTCCTCCTAAGAAGACATTTTAGACAGGACATCTTTGTCTTAATTCAGACTTGTGATAAAACTCGCAGACTGCAGACCTCCAATAAGCTGCTGCAGACACATGGACTTCTTAAAGACGCTCTATGACTGCAGATTAACCAACATGTCTCAATAAAAAATTCTGCTTGTTTTCAGGTCTCCTGGACTGGGTTCTCTTCTCTCTTTCAATCATTAATTTTTTACAATAACTGAAAATTCATTTGCTCATCCTTTACTTGTTTCAAACTTTTTCCGAGTTTCTTTCTTCTATTAAACACAAAAGGAGACATTTTGAAAAATGCTATGAACCTGTGACTAGGGCTGGGCGATAAGGCAAAAAAATAAAAAATAAATAAATAAATCTTTTTTTTTTTTTTGATAAAGTTTGACCAATTCATGATTTAGATATTTTTATTGTGTAACTAGTCAACTTAAAACATTACAACAACATGACTGAAGTAACTTTCTCTTTATGAGCAACTTGAAAAAAAAATTGGAAACATTTAAGGAACATTGTATTTTAATGGCCATGCCATACATGAATTTGTCAACAAAGTGTAAATAAATGTAAAACAAATTCATGAGTTAAATATTGTTGCAAAATATTTTATCAGTAAATATTGTGCAATTTAAAATAAACAATAAATACTTCTGCTTTGATTTTATAGTAAAAAAATAACCCTATTAACCAAAGTAAACATTACATCAGTCAACTCAAAAAGTTCAGCAAATTTACAACAATAAAAAATAAAAACACCACAAAACAAAAAAAAAACACTTTGTAGACCATCGTGTAAACAAAGCATGTTGTTGATAAGTTGCATGTAGCTGTAACAGGTTTTTTGAGAGGACAACCAATCTGTCTACTGTTTCAGGCTTTAGAGATGCTCTGTGACAGGTCATAATGTTCCCACCTGCACTAAACTTGCTCTCAGTATGGGCCTTGGTAGCAGGAATACAGAGGTATTTTTTGCAAGTGGGCTGAGCCTGGGAAAGATTGTCTAATTAGCCTTCCACAAGTGAAGTGGGTCTGTGTCTGAATCTACATCTGGAGACATCAAAAAGGCTGTCAGCTCAGCTTTGACTTTGTCTTCTTCTGACTGAATGACAGGTTGTGATGCTGGTGCCGTTTTCTTAAAAAGAGATAGTGGAAGTAAGGGACTGAACACTGAGACTGTAAAGCCTGATTTAACCCAATACGTGAAGTTGTGGACGTGGAGCTGCTGCAAATACAAGCACCAGGTGTGAGTCTAATATATAAAAATATGTATTTATTCTATTTTTCTTTTTTATTTGCACCACTACTTGTACTTCACTACTACAGCTGCTCGCCTCTGCTTATGTTCAAACCAAACTAAGATCAGCGCGGTCTTTATAATGGCAGGTTTTTACGTCCTTCATACATGCTGAAAGATCGAGTTTATCGACTTGATAAGGGAATATGTCTTGACATAATCCACAAAGATGTGACTTAAAAAAGCATGAAGTCATGTATCATTTTAATCATTGCATTAGTCTGAATGTAAATCCCCTCGTCAGGCAGCGCTGGAGCAGTGTAAGAGAGTGGACCACAGCACATCAAACGAAAGGTATTAACAAAAGAAAAATACACAACTTAAGACACTTAAATGCTTGTATTTGCACTAGCTGTGCGATACGCGTCCCTAACTTCATGTATTTGGTTAAATTAGGCTGTCAAGTCTTCCTGTGTTCAGTCTGTTATAATCAAGGTGGAAACCCAGACAGGAAGTCAGGCAACGTAATACAAAGAGTGGACTAATAATATCTTGGATAAGTGGACAAATAATATCTTGGAGCCAATAGCTAGACTGTATAATAGGGCCTATAAGATCCACTTTCTGGATGGACATATCACTGTTTTGCTCTATCACTTTCTAATGCTTTACCATTTCTAAACTACATTATGAACACAGGGATTAAACTGTCCTATAAAATTTTAAATAGCGCAACCTCAGCAGCCGTTTGTGCTTTGGTACCAAAACTTAACACAAGGACAGATCGTTCCACCAGATCTGCAACAAATGAAGGTTCGCCATTACCGGCTTTAAAAAAAATGTTATGGACAGAGATCTTTCTTTTATGTATTCACAAAAGCATGGAATGAGATCCCACAACATCTAAAAACAATACCAACACTGAGACTTTACAAAAAAAAAAATCCCATGCTCGTCATCTGATGGTCAACTATCCCTGTAGCCACTGAGATAGTAGCCTGCTTTTCTCTACTTTATATGTTTGGTGATTGTTTGTACTGTGTTGATGGATGAGATGTCTGTCTGTTTTTTTTTGTTCTGCAGAGCAGGAACCTGCTGAAAAACAGCATTCATGCTGAGTTAGGCCCGATTATCTTTTAATCTTTTCCTGTTTTAAAAATTATAAATAAATTGTCTTAAAATGTAAATACGAATTAATATTAATAAAAAAAATAATCAAAGGAATCACCCAGCCCTACCTGTCACCATTGACTTCCATAGTATTTGTTTTTCCTGCTATGCAAGTCAATGGTTACAGGTTTTCAGCATTCTTCAGAATATCCTCTTTTGTGTTTAACAGAAGAAAGAAACTCTTATGTTTGCAATTACTTGAGGGGGAGTGAACAGTGAGTGCACTTTCTTTTTTAGGTAAACTATGCTTAACTTCATCGGTTGTGTTTTGAAATAAGGCGTGTAAATAATGGCGGTGAGAAAAATAACCACAATTCTTAGGGATTGATATGAATAATGGAAATCGCATATAAACGGGGAAAAACTCCTGACATAAAACCATCATATTGCGATTAACCCTCACTCTGATTTTTGGAAATTCAGATTATATGTGCCCATGTTAATGTAGTTATTGTCATGTAAACACATTGAAACTTCTGGAGCTGCGCATCAACAGATTTGCTTTTCAGTGTTTGGACTTAAACCACACAGAATTGAACTAAACTAAACTTTAACTCTGAAAACTGAACTGACACCGTTTCAATTTACTAGAACTTCTATGATAAGCTGCTTTGACACAATTTACATCGTAAATACGCTATAGAAATAAACATGAATTGAACTAAGGGTGTGATCTTACCATAATATCCTCCAGCTTCATGTCCAGAAGATCTGCTCCCTGCACATACGCTTTCCAGTCCTCCGATTCCTCGTCCTCTCCCATATTGTCCAAAATCAGCTCAAAGAAGATGACTTTCTCCGAAACCGCACTGAATGTGTTATCAAAACAGAACATGTAGTCTCCCTCTTCTGTTTCCACACTGAGGACAAAAGGTCACAGAGAAAGCACACGCATTACTATTTGAGGAGCAGAAAGTTCATGACTCTGACTAAACTGTGTTATAAGCAAAACTCACGTATGAACCCCGTCAGATTTTCTGTAGTCAGAGGCTATGATGTGGCCGCTGGGTGAGTTTAACTGGAAGTCCACGTCTAGACTTGCTCCATCCAAAACCTGCACATAGATATCCCTTAATGAGAGATCAGCGCTGATTCTGACTTCACAATATGAAAGTTTGAGCTTACAGCTATAATGTTAAATGAAAATATAACAAATATTATTATACGCTTATATTTGGACTTTAAATGAGAAGATATTTTAGTGTTGACATTTCTAATTGTAACATTTTATTCTTTTATTGTTGTATTATCATTATTATTATTATTATTATTATTATTATTATTATTAATTTAGTTCTTATAAATAAAATAAGCAAAAATCTGTCTCGGCAGGTCACACAACAAAAACTTAGAAATTTGCCATGCTGAGGTGAAATATTGTAGATATTTGTAAAATGATGTTCACCCTATTCAGTTTTGAAAATTTCTATATTGTTTAAATTAAATTTAATTGCATTAATAGAAACAAGAATCAAATGAAATCCAAAGCTTGTGAATCGAAATCAAATGCTTGTTAATTAACATTTTATCGAAATTGAGAATCAATTCAAAGCTTGAGATTCTGAATAGAACTGAATCAAAAACTGAAAGCTTGTGAATCAAAATTAATTCAATAGCTTAATGAATGGAAACTAAATTAAAATCAAGAATTGAAAGCTTCTGAATTGAAGTTAAATTAAAAGCTTATGAATCGAAATCAAATTGATTCAAGAATTGAATCAAATCGAACTCTTGAGAATCAGGATCTAATCAAATGCCAGAAAATCACAATTGAAATCGAAAATAGAAGGCTTGTTAATCAAATTAAAATCAAATGCTTGTTGATCGAAATCTAATTGAATAAAGAATTGAATCAAATTGTCGATTACTTGGGGAAAAAAATCTAAATGCTTGCAAATTGAAGCCGAATTGAATCAAAAGCTTGAGAATCAGAATTGAATAAAATAGTTGTAAATGAAAATTGAATTGAAATCGAAAATTGAAAGCATGTGAAAAAAAAAATCACATTGAATCAAGAATTGAATTAAATCAAAAGCTTGTAAATCAAAATCGATTCAAATGCTTGTGACTCGAAATTGAATTGAAATCAAAAATTGAAAAGAGAATTGAAAGCTTATGAATCAAAATCCAAATGAATCAAGAATCAAATCATATCAAATGCTTGTGAATCGAAATCAAATCGAGAATGGAATAGAAACCCTGTGAATCAAAATCAAATAAATTGGGGGATCTGAATCAATACCCAGCCTTATTTGAGTTTGCTACACTCTCAGAAATAAAGATACGCGAGTTGTCACTAAAAAGTACAAAAGTGTTCCTCTTAAAATTTTTAGGTACTAATATATACTTTTGAGGTACCAATATTGATCCTTTAAGTACAAATGTGTATCTTTTGAAAAGGTACCACCCTAGTGAAAGCTTCCGTACCTTTTTTTATGAGAGAGTATGAGACAAATAAGAGATTTCATTTACACAAGTCTACAGAAATAGTCCTCTGGGTACATCCTCTTCGTCAAAACTGACCTTTAGCTTCATTGTGCCACTTCTCTAAACTCTGTCACAACTTGAAGAATCATTTCAATTAGCCATACTGCATTGCATAAAATCATATCTAAGAGCATAATGGACAGTTTGTTTCACAATCAGTGGGGGAAAAGAGAGAAAAATCTCAAGTCTGCATGGAGAGCTGAAAACATATTATTAGCCCCTTCTGTAAAATCCTAATTATTTAAAAAGTAAAAAAGATTTTTTTTAAAAACATTTTCATTTCATTGCCATGATGATGATAAACAGTATTTACTGGCTATTTTGCAAGATACTAGTATTAAGCTTAAAGTGCAATTTAAATGCTTAATTACTACTTAAATATAGGCAAGTTAGGGTAGGGTAAGTTAGGGTAATTAGGCAAGTCATTGGACAACAGTGGTGCATTTCTGTAGTTAACCTTTAAAAATAAAAATAAACATTAAACTGCTTTTATTACAGCTAAACTAAAAGAAATAAGACTTTAAAAATTTATAAAATAGAAAATTTCACAGTTTAATAATTATGGCTTCAACTGTACATCTAAAAAATTCTATAACTCTCTCAATTCAATACAATTCAATAATTGCTTTATTGGCATGACAAATGTTACAAATGTATTGGCAAAGCTTATAAAGTTTACATTAAAAACCAAAGAACATACATATATTATAAAAAGACACAGTAAATAGCAGTAGTCGTAGGAGTGGTACAAAATATATATACATATAATAAAATAAAAATATAAATAATAGATAATTTTATTCAATTTATCACATATTATTCAATATCATATTATTCAATATATCATATTATATATTTTCAACAAAAAATAATAATAGATCAGAATAAACTATAATAAAATAAATAATAATATAAACTCTCTACGTGTAACTCTAAAAATATTTCTTTCTGTGTTTCAAATAAAAAGAAGATAAGTGAAAATGCACAAATAAATACATAATTTTCTATTATAAGATTCTTAAAATTATATTAAATTCTATTTTAAAATTATTAAACTTTGACAGAATTTTGCCTTTTAGATTTTCACATTTTGTTTTAAAAAGAGGGAGACGTTCCTTGTTTGATGGTGTTTGCATTTAATACAATTTTCAAAAGTTATTTTATTTCCCAGAGATGGGTTGCGGCAGGAAGGGCATCCGCAGCGTAAAAACTTGCTGGATAAGTTGGCGGTTCATTCCGCTGTGGTGATCCCGGTTTAATAAAGGGACTAAGCCAACAAGAAAATGAATAAATGAAAAAGTTATTTTATACAATTAAACATATTACATTCTGGTGGAGAAAAAATCTAAAAATGAGTGAATAATATTTAATAATAGTAATTCAGCATAACAAATATAATATTGGGGGAGTTGTTTTTATTACAAATATATTTATTGTTTATCTGTATTTATTAAAATATTTTACATAATAAATGACCATGTTAATAATTGCATTTGGTTTAAATGCATAAAAAACTTCATCCTGACAAGGTTTTTAAATGGCTTGTCGTTTGAAGGACAATGACAAAGTATTAAGATTTATAAAAACTAATCATTTGTATTTTGGGACACAACAATACGACAATTAAACAGCTTTTTTTATTTTAAAATGTCATCAATCGTTCTGGTAATAAACATGTCTGGTACATAAACTCAAACTGCCTCATATCTATTTACATTTAATCGATATAATAACAAGTATTTGTGTTGTGTATCATCATAATCAGTGTCAGGCACACGCAGAGGCTGAGAATGAGAGTACCTGGTACTCGATCTCCAGTGAAGCGTCTTTCTTCATCGTCTGGAAGAAACATTCTCTGCGTCCCGCGGCCAGAGTGAACGTAAAGTCGCTGTCCAAAGACTGAGAGAAAGCGCTGGCCAAAGAGACACACACAGACAAACACGCCACACACGCTCTCAACACCTCCATACTCCACCGCATCGCTCCACACGGACAAAACTTTACCGACAAGCGATGAAAGTTACTCTTCTTGTGTAAACTTGAGCTGCTGCTCGGGACAGCTCAGCTCACCGGACTAGTTGAATGCCATAACTTGAGGACCCCGCCTCAAAAACGGTCAAACGTTATTTGAAGGTTTTACATGTTCCAACACTGATTACTCAGCTTTTTCTAAGAGAATTGACTAAAGCTGAACATAAATTTATAGAACACTTGTTTTGTGAGAGCAAATTAAATATTTATAGGCTGCACATGTACAGCGTCATCCTCTGGCATTTAACTCGACGTCCTGAAATATTGCATTGTGGGAAATGAAGTTTTTTGAGGAAAAAAAAAATTAGTTTTGTGCTCCATACTATATTGTGATTATATTCAGTAAAGGTTGTATATTGGACTCTATTTCTTCAGTCTAAATAATTTTTTTCCAGAGAATAATATTTTTATATGCATAAATATAAAATAATAAAGACTATAAAATAGGCTACACAAAGTACAAATCTCAGAACTTGTCAAACATTTTACACCAACTTACTGAACAAATCCATGCACTTTTTATGATGCAAATGAGCAAAACATTCAGAACTTTTCATTTGTATGAGAGTATGTGTATTTTATTTATATATTTACGTAATAAGGTGACACGATGGCTTAATGATTAGCACTGCCACCTCAAAGCAAGAAGGTCGCTGGTTTGAGTTTGCATGTTCTATGTTGGTGTGGGTTTTTCTTTGGATGCTTGTGCTCTGATTTCCCACACAGTCCAGAGACATGCACTATAGGTGAATTTAATTAACTAACTTGGCAGTGGTGTAGCTGAAAGGGCATCCGCTGTGTAAAACATTAGCTGGATAAGGTGGTGGTTCATTCTGCTGTGGTGATCCCCGATGAATAAAGGGACATATCCGAAGGAGTAGAAAATAAGATTGAATGAATCAATGTAATACTGATTTTTAAACTAAACATTGCAAAAAAGAAACGTCTTTCTGCCCTTATTTTTTAGTTAAATCAAATAAACTTTTCTGGTCATCTCAACGTACATCGATCAAACTGACTAAACATATTACCTTAAAGAATTTAGTTGAAACCTGAATAACTCATTAAAATTAAGTTACTTAAAACATGTGTTGTCATGACCTTTTTTTATAGAGCACCTAAATACCGTTTGTCTTCACTGGCTGGGGTTCCAAAATATGTAATAAATGGCATCATCATTCAAAAGATGAAGACGACCATAACTGATGTTTTTTTTTTTTTTTAAGCGAAAATATACAACAACAGAACATTATAAACAAAATGTAAAGAAAAAATAAACAAATAAATGAATAAATGAATAAATAAATAAATAAATAGATAAATATAATTATAATTATAATTATAATTATAATTATAATGATAATTATTAATTATAATATAAAATAATTATATATTTATTTATAAATATATTTATACAGTTGAAGTCCGAATTATTAGCCACCCTGTATTATTGACCCCCCTGTTTTTTTGTTCTGTTAAACGGAAAAAAGATTTTTAACACATTTCTAAACATAATAGTTGTAACAATTCATTTCTAATAACTCATTTATATTATCTTTGCCATGATGACAGTAAATAATATTTGACTAGATATTTTTCAAGACTTTTCTATAAAGCTTAAACCCAACAAACACATTTACGTTGTAGCAATGTCTGCACAACGTTGTATTTTTTCAAAGACAACGTTGCCGCTTACGTGCTCGCTACATTGTCACAACGTAGAAATGTAAGACGTGAGAAGGCTGTAGCAACGTTGTCGTGCGACATTCAGCAACCGCGAGGCGGCGTTCTTACTACTTGTATTAATATTTTTTGTGGCAGTTTATCAATACTGCCTAGAATACAGAATAAGCAGCAATTCTTTTCTAGTATTGCTTAATATGAAATATTGTTCATTTATTTTTCCTATTTAATTTAACAACTGCATGTGTAAACTTTAAAGTGTAAAAATGCCACACAAATTAATAATCAAACTTTTTATTATATATTTCACAACATTTAATACATACAGTACACATACAGTATCTAATTATAAGCAAACAGTATAAAATAAAGTTTAGATTATTATATATATATATATATATATATATATTAAACTAAAGGGTAAACAAACACAAACAAGAAAAGTAAACAAGAAATCATTAAAATGTAAATAAATATATAAATAAATATATAAATTAAAATTCAAACACTGGGCAGTGAAACTCTGGACTGGAGAATACAGCAGACCGGGGAGCGCAGCTGAAGACCAGTCGTAGTTGTTGGTATGGAGAAAGCAGTCAGAGGAAGAAACAAATTCAACGGATAATCCAGCTTCAGAGATCCACAGCAGACACAAGTCAAAATAGGCAGTGAACAAGAGAGGACAGATCAGAGCTTGACACAACAGCACTACACAGGAAATGACTATGACTAGCAAGTTATTGAAGTTTCAGACATTTATTGTAATTTCATTACATATAAAATCTCCAGAGTAATTATGTAGCCTATACTTTATTTTAATGTTTTAATAATATATCATATACCAAAATTACATACAATTAAATAAATTTAGAGATACAGTGAAAACAGTTTTGAGTTAACAGAAGTCAGAGTTAGTCTCTGAATTCTCACTTAAATTATGAGAAGAGAAAGAACAGGCCCTGTAGTTGTGGCGTTGCTCGCTGTAAATGGAATGTTAAACTTAGTGTCATTTCAATAACAGTACAAAATAATGAAGTAATTTTTCATAAGCATGATCTATTTTCCACATTATGGACATGCCGTTTTAGGTAACATAACTACTTTTAATAGTAAATAGAGTAGTATACTTCTTACCTCATCCAATTCTTCTTTCCATAGATCAGAAATTACAGCAACACTGATCTGAGGTGAATTCAACAGCTGAAAACATTTTGAAAGACAAGTTACATGAGTAATTTGAAAACAACAGTGAGTGGTTAAACAATAGAGTTTTATGCAACTTACGCATAATCAAAATCCAGATATTATCAATAGAAGATTACCTCCATGTAAAAATAGCCTGTTGAGCAAAGAAAAGAGTGGGTTTTAAATAAAACATCAAAAGACCAATCAAAATAGAAATTTAGACTAGCAGACCTATTAATTACTATCTATATTAATTAGGCATATGAACATTAATTTATATACTTTAACTTATAGGGATAGCTCACCCAAAACTGACAATTCTGCCATTTTAGCCTCATCCTTTATTTGTTGCAAACTTATTTAGCTTTTTTTCTGCTAAACAATAAAGAAGATATATTAAATAAAGCTGGAAATCTGTAACTATTTAATTCCATAGTGTTTTCCTACTATGAAAGCAAATGCTTACAGTCTTTAGTGTTCAACAGAATAAAGAAACTTAAAGGTTTGGAATCACTTATTATTTACAGGGCAAATAATTCGTGAGTACATATCATTTTTGAGTGAACTGTTCCTTTAACGGGACGCAATCTACACAGAGATGTTTTGTTTTCAAAAGTTATTTTGTGTGTTTTGTAAAAAGTGGGTCGGCTCGTGTGATGAAGTATCATACTAACTGATCACGATGGATAAGGAGAAAACTGAACTTCAAAAACATTATTGTCCATTTGATTAAAGACAAGGCGTAGGTAAATAATCAGGAAATGTTTTATCGAGAGGTTTAACATAATGATTTTAATGTTGTTGCCGTCCGTTAACGGATTGCCGAAATGTTACTCGCTCGTAATAATTACGGCTTTTGTGTGTGTGTGTGTGTGTAATGTTGGAACAGATTGTTGTCGAAATCGTAGGTTTGTTTAAATAGTCACGATTTACGTATCTTATTTAGCAAGAAGAAATAAAGCAATACTCACGTCTCCTCGGTCGTTGATGAATGAGACGACGGCTTGTTGAAATTTAAACTGATTCAGCTGTGACCAGTAAATGTTGTACAGTGGTCGTCCACGCCACCTAAGCACAACCTAAAGCATGCGACCCTCATGATATTTAAATGGCAACCTTATGACATCGTTGTGACAACCTTTAGCAACAACGTAGAATCCTCAACCTTTTTACAATGTTGGTACAACGTTGTAGGAAGGTCGCTACGTTGAGGCAACGTTGTGTGTTTGTTGGGAAGTGACTAGGTTAATTAGGTTAACTAGGCAGGTTAGGGTAATTAGGCAAGTTATTGTATAATAATGGTTTGCTCACTATTTGCTCACGATCAAGAGGCTCCAAATCTTTATAAGTTTCTTTCTACTGTCAAATGCAAAAGAAACTATTTTGAAGAATGTTTGAAAAGGGTAACCATAGTAGGAAAAACAAATATGGAAGCCAACGGTTTGTTCATAACGCCTTCTTTTGTTTATAACAAACGAAAGAAACAAATGATAAAGGTTGAGTAAATGATGACAAGGGCAACATGATGGCTTAGTGGCTAGCACTGTCGCCTCACAGTAAGAAGATCACTGGTTCGAGTCTTGGCTGGGCCAGTTGCCGTTTTTGTGTGGAGTTTGAATGTTCTCCCCATGTTTGTGCAGGTTTGCTCCTGGTGCTCTGGTTCCCCCCACAGTCCAAAGGCATATGGTATAGGTATATTGAATAAACTTAATTTTAATTGTCTGTGATGTATGTGTGTGAATGAATGTGTATAGATGTTTCCTAGTACTGGGTTGCAGCTGAAGCCCAACAAACACACAACGTTGCCTCAACGTAGCGACCTTCCTACAACGTTGTACCAACCTTGCAAAAAGGTTGAGGATTCTACGTTGTTGCTAAACGTTGTCACAACGATGTCATAAGGTTGCCATTTAAACATCACGAGGGCCGCATACTTTAGGTTGTGCTTAGGTGGCGTGGACAACTACTGTACAACATTTACTGGTCACAGCTGAATCAGTTTAAATTTCAACAAGCCGTCGTCTCATTCATCAACGACCGAGGAGACGTGAGTATTGCTTTATTTCTTCTTGCTAAATAAGATACGTAAATCGTAAATATTCAAACAAACCTACGATTTCGACAACAATCTTTTCCAACATCACATGTTAAATCTCTCGATAAAACATTTCCTGATTATTTACCTACGCCTTGTCTTTAGTCAAATGGACAATAATGTTTTTGAAGTTCAGTTTTTTCCATATCCGTCGTGATCAGTTAGTATGATACTTCATCACACAAGCCGACCCACTTTTTACAAAACACACAAAATAACTTTTAAAAACAAAGCATCTCTGTGTAGATTGCGTCCCGTTAAAGGGACAGTTCACTCAAAAATGATATGTACTCACGAATTATTTGCCCTGTAAATAATAAGTGATTCCAAACCTTTAAGTTTCTTTATTCTGTTGAACACTAAAGACTGTAAGCATTTACTTTCATAGTAGGAAAACACTATGGAATTAAATAGTTACAGTTTTCCAGCTTTATTTAACATATCTTCTTTATTGTTTAGCAGAAAAAAAGCTAAATAAGTTTGCAACAAATAAAGGATGAGGCTAAAATGGCAGAATTGTCAGTTTTGGGTGAGCTATCCCTATAAGTTAAAGTATATAAATTAATGTTCATATGCCTAATTAATATAGATAGTAATTAAAAGGTAAGCTAGTCTAAATTTCTATTTTGATTGGTCTTTTGATGTTTTATTTAAAACCCACTCTTTTCTTTACTCAACAGGCTATTTTTACATGGAGGTACTCTTCTATTGATAATTTCTGGATTTTAATTATGCGTAAGTTGCATAAAACTCTATTGTTTAACCACTCACTGTTGTTTTCAAATTACTCATGTAACTTGTCTTTCAGAATGTTTTCAGCTGTTGAATTCACCTCAGATCAGTGTTGCTGTAATTCCTGATCTATGGAAAGAAGAATTGGATGAGGTAAGAAGTATACTACTCTATTTACTATTAAATGTAGTTATGTTACCTAAAACAGCATGTCCATAATGTGGAAAATAGATCATGCTTATGAAAAATTACTTTATAATTTTGTACAGCTGTTATTAAAATGACACTAAGTTTAACATTCCATTTACAGCGAGCAACGCCATAACTACAGGGCCTGTTCTTTCTCTTCTCATAATTTAAGTAAGTATTCGGAGACTAACTCTGACTTCTGTTAACTTAAACCTGTTTTCCCTGTAACTCTAAATTTATTTAATTGTATGTAATTTTGGTATATGATATATTATGAAAACAATAAAATAAAGTATAGGCTACATAATTACTCTGGAGATTTTATATTTAATGAAATTACAATAAATGTCTGAAACTTCAATAACTTGCTAGTCATAGTCATTTCCTGTGTAGTGCTGTTGTGTCAAGCTCTGATCTGTTCTCTCTTGTTCACTGCCTATTTTGACTTGTGTCTGCTGTGGATCTCTGAAGCTGGATTATCCGTTGAATTTGTTTCTTCCTCTGACTGCTTTCTCCATACCAACAACTACAACTGTCTTCAGCTGCGCTCCCCGGTCTGCTGTATTCTCCAGTCCAGAGCTTCACTGCCCAGTGTTTGAATTTTAATTTATATATTTATTTATATATTTATTTACATTTTAATGATTTCTTGTTTACTTTTCTTGTTTGTTTACCCTTTAGTTTAATTATATATATATAATCTAAACTTTATTTTATACTGTTTGCTTATAATTAGATACTGTATGTGTACTGTATGTATTAAATGTTGTGAAATATATAATAAAAAGTTTGATTATATTCATTTGTGTGGCATTTTTACACTTTAAAGTTTACACATGCAATTGTTAAATTAAATAGGAAAAATAAATGAATAATATTTCATATTTAGCAATACTGGAAAAGAATTGCTGCTTATCCTGTATTCTAGGCAGTATTGATAAACTGCCACAAAAAAAAAATAATACAAGTAGTAAGAACGCCGCCTCGCGGTTGCTGAATGTCGCACGACAACGTTGCTACAGCCTTCTCACGTCTTACATTTCTACGTTGTGACAATGTAGCGAGCACGTAAGAGACAACGTTGCCTTTAAAAAAATACAACGTTGTGCAGACATCGCTACAACGTATATGTGTTTGTTGGGAGGGCATCCACTGTGTAAAACATATGCTGGATTAGTTTGTGGTGCATTCCGTTGTGGTGACTCCTGGTTATTAAAGAGACTAAGCCGAAAAGAAAACGTATGAATGAATACATGATGACAAATGTTTAAATTTTGGGGATGAACTATTTCTTTAAAACACTGGTTAATGGCCAAAAGTGTTGCTTCGGAAATTTCTATAGGTGGCGCACAAACCACTAACTAAACATTTTGAGTTCATTTTAAATGAAAGTTATTACAAACTAAGCTAATAACGATTCACAAGAAGTTAGCCTAGGCAGTTATTGCTAATTAAAATGCTTAAAAATACATTAAACTGCTCTTATCATTTTGAGGGTTTTTTCAGATATCAGTCACATTTTTAAACCCCAAAGTCATTAAACATTTTAACGCTAAAATATAGCAAAGTTGCTAAGTTATTTCCCCAAGCGAATGATCTGGAAGTCTTTCAAACCTCTTATCATTCGAGCTGACGCGTCTGATGACAAAACTTCCAACTCATCTAGACCCCAAAGAGTAGGCGGGGTCAACGTAAAACTCGATTTCTATTGGTCGAGGGCGAGGCAGCAGGAGCTGTGAGCGCTGGATCAACAGCAGCACGGAGCAAACGCAGACGGGAAGCAGTCAGGCGGGCAGCGCTTCTCAACGGGGGGTTTAAACGTAGAAAACTGACCCAAGTGTCTGCTCTGTACCGTGAAACACACCCCCTTTACCTTGATACAGTTGCGAACAATTAGCATTATTAGCTAGTCTTTGTCTCTGTCGTCAGTATAGGGTGAGAATAGATAAAAAAGCGAGGATGTTGGTCCCCGCGGGAAGATAATGAAGAAGCTGCGCGTGTTGTTCCTGTGCTCCGTTTTAGCTCTCCTGTGCTGGTAAGTCAAATCATTATTTTAATACAACACAGTTACAATGTATCTAAGCTGTAAAACATTAATACTTTGACAACGACGTCATTCAAAACTCTATATTTTTTCTTGATAGCATCGATGCTAGATGCTAACGTTAGTTCAATCGCTTTAGAGGTGGGATGTGTGTTTATAAGCTTTATGGCTGAAGACATCAAATTAAATAAGCCTAGTGCTGTTTTTATTCATTTATTGTTGTGGGGTTGATGCTTACGCCTTTTGAAATTTGCTGTCAGCCTGTTGAAACAGTACTGGACCACCAGCTGTCCACTATATGTGTGGATGTAGGGAACGCAATGTTCAGAAAACAGAAAGCCCACCATGCATTGTTAAGCTGTAATCAATAATTTAACATTATTCCGTGATTGATGTATGCATTTATTATATTTTTTTGAAGATTAAATCTGACCATAATGGTAATGAGCTGATATGGATTCATTTTGTGGCCAGCATGTATTCTATGCATAAATAATGGTCATGAATTATGGACAATTATTGTCTGTCAAGCTCAGCATGTAGGGAAATATTAACAGTAACTATTTCATAACGTTGGATTACTTTTAACTAAACAATATGCAACATTATCGCTCTTTTATTACATCAGAATTATCTGTGGTTGAGAAGTGTATTTTTGTCAACATTGTTGTATGTTACCATGAGTTAATTTATTTTACACTAGTTACAAAAAACAAAACAACACGCACACACACACACACACACACACACACACACACACACACACACACACACTGTGTTATATGTTTACAGTCTTCAGGAACTTCAGGACAAATATGTCCCCAAAAAAACCTTTAAAATGGCAATATTTATTCCCAGTGCCTTTTTAATGCTTTGTTATTTTTTGGCAAAGCTTAAATTTGTATATTATATACTTAATTATTATGTAATATATATTATTATACATCAGTTGTGATGTTTTGCCACATTTTTTCATGTTTTCATAAAGACATGTTTTTTTATGTTTGTTCTTGGAACAAATATGGTATATATTTTTTCCCCTTTTCTGCCTTTGAACTTTTGAGCAGGCAGAAAATATTTAAATTATGTAATTATGTGAATATTTGTTTTATTTTGGGACTGATGCAGGTTTATTAATCTGTATATAATATAATGAGGCATTTTCTTTTTGTAATGTAATGTAATGTATGTATGTAATGTTTATTTTTGTCCCCAATTTCTGTTTAACTGAGAGATTTTATTTTTTAAGATTTATAGTTTTAATAACTCATTTCTAAAACTGATTTATTTTATCTTTGCCATGATAACAGTAAATAATAATTGACTAGATATTTTTCAAGACACTTCTATACAGCTTAAAGTGACATTTAAAGACTTGACTAGATTAATTAGGTTTCCTAGGCAGGTTAGGGTAATTAGGCAAGTTATTGTATAACGTTGGTATGTTCTGTAGACTATCAGAAAAAAAAGCTTTAAAGGGGCTAATAATTTTAACCTCACAATGGTTTTTAAAATATTAAAAACTGCTTTTATTCTAACCGAAGAAAAACAAAAAAGAATTTCCCCAGTAGAAAAAAATATTATCAGACATACTGTGAAAATTTCCTTGCTCTGTTAAACATAATTTGCGAAATATTTTAAAAAAAAAATTAAAAGGGGGCTAATAATTCTGACTTCAACTGTACGTGAATTTGTTGTTGTTGTTGTTGTAGCTATTATCAGGACTGATGCAGGTATTAAAATATAAGTCAGTAAAATTGTTAAAGAATTCTTAAAATATGATACCTTCTCTGACATTTTTTTTGTCTGTCCAACTATTTTTTTTTACTTTTTTACAGTCTTGCACAAGGGTTAAAAGTAATAGGCTACTGTTTAGTTAGCTAGACTGCTAAGGCCTAAATTTGCCCAGACCGCAGAACCTAACTCTTACTTCAGTGTGTGATATTTTGAGAATATTCGAGTTTGTGTGTATCTTTGATAAACTTAGCTTTTCTGCACTTGCTATCCTTGCCAGGCTGATGTGGCATGCACCGTAGACAGGTGGTGGATTAGGGTTGGTCATGTGTTGACTAAGCACACAGGGGTGCTGACGCAGGTCTCAGTACCTGGAGTGAGACACAAGAACACAATTACACCCTGTGCCTGTCGGCCGCCCTGTCAGATTGATGATTTTAATAACGGCCTGATGTGCCATCGGACTGCAATTTTCATAACAGCTGATTAGAAAGCTAGTTTTATTATCACAGCAACTGATGTCCTAGAAATTTGAGCTCATCGCTTATGATTACAGCAACAGTAACATTAAGATATTGATGGGACGTTTCCCAGTTTAAATAAAGCAAGTATGAAATAATAATAAAAAAAGGAAACCAGTGAGTTGCATAAGAATTGCGCCAGGGGTGCAAAAACTCACAGCTCATAAATACCTTGTGTGTGTTTTTTTTTTTTTTTTTTTTATTTGGCATGCATTACTTTCTTTTCAAACTTCAGCCTACTATTAGCTTGGCTGCATTCAAAAGCTTTTCATTGAGTGGTAAGAAGGCATCAAGTAGTGCTGCACGATATTGGAAACATCTGATATTGCGATATTTTATTTTTCTGCGATTAAATATTGTGAAATCAATACAGTTTCAGAAGGTTTGGATAGCGCTATTTGACGTTTTTCTGTTGAGTCGAACTGTACTTGGCTACAGAAATTGATTAATCATAAGAAATTGTTTTGAATTGTTTTGTTTTGATATTTGGAGTAGAAATGAGATGAAACAAATTAAGAAAAGCATTTTGAATATATCACATATCAAAACAATTCTTAGACCAAGTAAAAATATTGTTTAGTTTTCACCGTTAAAAGAAATAAGTGTAAATGCATGTGTAATTATCTGCCTATAGGGTAAGGGAAATAATCTTATTTTCGCTTTGAAGTGTAGATATTTGAACTGGAAACAAGACAAATTCAAAAAAATTTTTTTTGCATAAATCATATAAATTTCATATAAAAAAACTCTGATTCTTGTCAACTATAATTCAAGACTGGACATTGCATATCTTTGCAATGTGACTGTGTATGTGCACATTTGTGATATCAATGCCGAAACAATATATTGTGCAGCTCTAGCATAAAGACATTTCCAAATACAAGTTAGTGTTACCTCTTTGATTTAGTTTTGAAGGCAGCATACTCTCAGACAACTTATGTTTGCTGCTTGTTTAAACTACTTATTTACAATAAGCAAAAACAACATAATTCTTGAGTATTTTGGGGCACAACTTAAATGTTTTATGTTCAGTCAACTTAAATTTGTAAAAACTAATGGTTTAACCTGATTCCTTCATGTTGTCCCAACATGTATATTGTGCAGTCTCAAAAATAAAGGTACAAGAGCTGTCACTAGGGCAGTACCTTTTCAAAAGGTACATATTTGTACCTAAAGAGTCTTTAGTGGTACCTCAAAGGTACATAACAGTACCCAAATGCACTTAAAATGTAGCTTTGAGGTACCAATATGTACCTTTTGAAAAGGTACTACCCCAGTGACAGCTCTTTTACCTTTATTTCTGAGAGTGTGTGGAAACAAGCATTTCTTTTACAGTGTGTGTCCTTTACTGCCTTTGGTATCTCACAATCCTCTGCTTTGCATTTCTGACAGTTGAGCTAAAAAACTAGCATGGTGTCTTAGAGTACTGCTGCTTGCATGCCAATCTGTGGGTAAATGTATGTTTCTGACCAACATTTCTCAGTTTTGATGGCATTAATTGATGGCAAAGTAGTATTATTGAGCAAATATTCCTTTAATTACCAGGAAAACTCTTTTTGTTTTGATGACAATTAAGCAGCTTTCAGACACACTGTATGTTCACATATCCGCCAAATAATGCTGTGTTTTCACGTCACCACTCTGCCATTCCCATTCTGATGATCTAATACGTTGATATATTGTATAAAGAAATGAATCAATTAAAAGCCATTTGTGGAGTGCGGATTTGTGGTAATGTTTAAGTTCTAGTCTAATTTGATCATGCTGTTTACAGAAGACGTTTAATAGCCTTGGTCTTCACGTTAACATTAATTTGTGCACATCCTACATAACAAAGCATAGCAATTATCAACTTCTGTGCTTGGATTTGCTTTTGAACTCGTGTTCGGAACCAAAGTTTATTGGACTGTATTCTCTTGAATCCACTCAAGTGGTGGACGGGTACATTTTGATAGGTTTCTGCCAAACCCCGTCATAGATCGTTACCATAAAATGGACGTGATTTCAACTGTCCTTGACGCTCACACCTTCTAAAATGCACTGCGTTGGATTTCGCCCCTGGCTCCTATTGAAAATGAATAGCCGCATTTAAGCACAGGGAGCGCACCATCCATAATATAACACCACAGAAATTCTCTGTTAAAACCTCGGTAGAAAATGTATTTTATAACATCCTCATTTAGATAGACACTGTCAAACATTCAGCCCAAATGGAGAGACCTAAAATAATTTTTTCCCTAGGCTATATGACACTTGATAGGTGATTCTTCTTTATTTAAGAATGTTGCATATTAAATCTTAAGTATAGTAAAGTGTTAAGTATTTCAGCACATAAGAGCAAGTAATAAAATATAGCCTATATTTTGTTGCGCTCAGCACCTATCCACTAATAAAGCTCTTTATGTATTTAAGAAAAAAGCCTAGCCTACAGAAAAAAAGGTCACCTAGTTTCTGCTTTCACTCAACCAAAAAATGCTGTTTGCTTGATTTAATTAATAAAATCCTATAAAAATACTTTATAAATAATATTTCACACTTTCTCCGGTGTTTATTGTTTTTAGAAAATATCTTAAATTTTTTTTTTAGATAGGCCTTTGTAAAATTAGTTTATTATGGCTTTAAAACGGTTTGATTTATGTATTGTACATACCTAAATTGTTGTAGCTAGCTTTTGTTAGTTTTATATTCGTTTATTTATTTAACTCTGTTTTTATTATCCGATATGCCTATTTGTAA